TAGATAGATAGATAGATAGATAGATAGATAGATAGATAGATAGATAGATAGATAGATAGATAGATAGATAGATAGATAGATAGATAGATAGATACCTTAAGTATCAGTATTATTTTACCTGTTTGTATTGAATCAGAGCGCACCAAGAAATGCAGAGCTATACCAAATGAAAGCTTCCTCTAAAGAGTGGGAGAGGCAACAGAGCGTTTTATTACCCCAGACCTGGAAAAAAAAAAGCATAAAAGCTGGCACCATCTCGTTTTAAGAGGAAATCATTACAACAACAAAAAAGAGGTGTAGAAACCTAGGAATGAGTGCCAACCAGGTCTATGAGAGCTCTGTATGCCTCCTCCTACTCCAGAGAGACTTTGAGAGAGTGACAAGATTCAAGATAGATCAATGAAAGTATGCCATTAACAATCCTGTCCCCACACAGCATGATTGATCAGTCCCACCACCCTGCTTGGAATATCAATAGCTTTATCAACAGCTTACACATCAGAGCAGATCATCTGTTTGAAGATAGATATGTGTAAAAGTACAATCATCCCAAGTAAACAAATGCTTCTTTATATATATATTCGTGAATGCCGGTGACTCTTTGCCCCCTGGCTTTAACTTGTACCAGATTAAAACACACGTTAGTCGTTTCAGCCAGTCCCATGGCCAGCAACGATGGCACCCATGGCTATCTGTACAAGTGTAGGTGAGAGTTTGGCAAGACCAATCACTGTATATAAAAGGCATGCATAGATTTAATCTGCTAAGACCACAAGAAAGAAACTTGTTTTTTTTTCTTCTCTAGAGAGTAGCCGATCATTTGCTGAGCAGCACTTAATCATATACAGAGAAAGTATAATGCTGTGAAGTTTTCTGGGGGGAGGGTTTGGTGAGACTGGTGGTGGGGGTTTAAGTGTGTAATCTCCAGACTTAGAGCAGTTTGCTTTTTGATGAGATGGAGGCCTCTCCTGCTCCCACTGCAGGCAGAAACACACCCAGTGCCAAGACAGGGGTCACGCTATGGCTATAAGGAAATCAGTGAAGCACTGACTTATGAAGCTAACAGTCAATTTTCTCGCTTACCTGCTTGAGACCCCGAGCTGTTGCTTTGGTACAACAGTCATCAGGATTTGTTTCCTATACTCACAGTGACCACTGGGGGTCAGTATTGTCACACAGAAGGAAATGGAGGTGATTTTGTTTGTGTGTGTGTGTCTGTTGGGGGGTGGGTGGGGGTCTGGTCAAGGTTAAGATGAAGCATTTGTCTGTCTGAGGTGCTCTAAAGTGTTTCAGCAAAGCTCTGCAGCATGCTCACTTATATCAGGCGACAGCGATTGTTTGCATCACCGCCTCTTTGCCTGAGAAACTCATCACAGGTCATATCTCTGTCTGACACTGATGCTGTTAAACAGCTAAAAGTCTATTTGCATGACACTCTGTCTGAGAGGCCCGTTATGGAAATGGGACTAATAAGCCAAGTAATCACCCAATCAAGCCAGGCTCGCTCCTCTGTCATCCTATTACTGCTCGTCTCAGCTCTGATAAATCTCAAGTCTAATCCAATCAAAACCAGCAGCTGTAGGACGCGGAGCAAGAGATGGATTTATTTAGAGCTAACATGGAATCAGAAATGACAGGAGACAAAAATGTAGAAATGTAGTCCTGAAGATACGACTAATATGGTGCTTTTGATGTTGTTGTGGCCAAAATTGTAAGAAAACCGCTTAAAGCGTTTAAAGGAAAGCTTCCCTCAGTGTGCTAATGGAATGGAAACAATGGGACACACACCAAAAAACCCAAATATGAATAATTCAGGCTTGACGCCACGACTGTGGTGTGTGTCCAAAGGGTTCTTTTCTTCTTGTTTTGTTGTGGGTCTTTGACGAGTTTCCTCAGTGGAAGGTACGCTAACGGTGAGGTTGCTTCTGCTCCTGCTGTAAATGGGACGTCTAGACTACGGTGTACCAACCGCAGGCAAGGACAAACCAGCGGAGGGAGCGGGGGATATCTCAGCCTACTTTCTCAAGAATCGTGGCAGAGGAGATGAATCAAGCTCGCCTCCACTGGTATCTACAAACACAGAGAGTCTGTCAGTCAGAGTCAGGCAGGCAGCGGCTCAGCTGCAAAGCTGTGTTGTGTGCTGCAGCCTTTTTGAGGAGAGCTGCTGAGGATTTTTTTTTTTTGGAGAAGTGTCTTTCTTTTTAATCAGTTTAGCATACCAATAAAACCTTTGAAAGCAAACCTCTGCTAGGAAATTTAAGATGCAGGACATTTTTTTTAACAGCATCTAGCTTGAAGCAAGCTTTTGGAGCTTGAATAGACACAAGTGCTTCGTTCCAACCCCGATCAGCTGGAGGTGTCAGGTTTTTAATGAATGGACAACCTCCTTGTCAAGATGACTCAGTGTACCTCAGTAGGCAGAAAGCGAGCGTATAGGCGTTTAGTCACGGCTCTGCAACAACCCAACCTCTTTTCTGCATTTGCAAGTTAAATTGTGTCAAGATATCATCAAGAGAAAGTACGTACAGTACAGTTCACAGAGTTTCACACGCAGAGAAAGATCCCAGAGTGGCACTGTGCAGAGAGGGAAAAGTTCCAGACATTTTTATTTTAAGGAATGGGTGTGTGAAAAATGGGAACCAGTGTTTTTTTTTTTGTTATTTTGTTTGTTTGTTTTGATTTTCAGGGAACCTGGGTCACCCCTTCCTTTCATCTTTTGTCTCCAATGATCTAATCACTGCTCCGTGTTTGATGGTATCACGAGGAGCAACACATCATAAGACAACAACACTTACTCACCAGTCACAGTGAACACGTGTCTACTACCGCACAACCATATTCCAGCCTAATACTGTGAACAGGGACAACGAGGAGATGAAGAAAGAAGACGGGGGCGGGGGACGGGAGAGGGGGCCACGAGGACGGTAAAGAGGGAAGAAGGAGAAGAAGGTCAAAAAATGAAAACACACCTTCATCTACGCTTACAATTTGAAATCGATGTTTACACAATAACACCATCCACAATCGCTACGCACATTCTCACGGTCATCTAAACCTAAGTTTGCACTGAGAAGTACCGGGGGATGGAAACACAGAAGGAAGGGCTGAGGGAGAAGAGATATCCACGAAGGCAACATCCTGTTCTCAACACCACCAGAGCCAAAATGGCTGCAGACCCTATCAAAGACACTGTTTAAAAAAAAAACAGGCTAATTTGTTCATCTATTCTTGTTCGGCCTCATGAATCTTTAAGAGCTGTTCAGTTATTCATTCTGACAGAGAGGCTGTGGTTTCATCATTCGTTACAAGCGACAAAAATGGAGTTTGCAAGATTTAACTCGCAAAGGAGTCTGAGGGTGTCTCTTACCTGGGGGAAATGATTTTCAAACCATTAAGTTGCTATATAAAGCACCGTTAGACCCTCTGCTACCCCTGACATGTGTAAATAGCAGCTATTTTTCTAATCTAACTAATCTTTTGGCCTTTTGTTATTGCTATATCCATTCTTCCATCCTCTTCCGCTTATCTATAGTCTACTATGGTTTTATTTATTTGTTTTCTTTTTAAATTCTATGAAACAACATTTAGCTTTAACATATTTTCCATTACTTTAAGGTTCTCTTCAGAGGCAGGGACATTAGCAGTGATAGCTATATGTAAATAGACATATTTACCTCACCACAGGAAAAAAATGTTTTGTTCTTTTTAGTTATTTTATTATTATTATTTTTAATCATCATTATATATATATATATAAATATTAACAGGATTTCACCACATAACAGGACACCAGCCCATTTCTCTTCCTCCTTTTTTTGTGGCTTCGATCCATTGCTCATACCGAGGCTCTCTGGGCTCTGGATAGCTTTAGCTATATCCACTTTTCCATTGTTAGTTTCTTTAAAATATTAATGTTCAGCTTGGTGATTTAAGTATCTGATTAGGTCTGTCATTACAAAAGTTTTTGGGGTGTTCCTCCCCTGCGTTTAACTTTGGTGAGCTTTGCTTATTTGCCTATGCTGCTGTGCACATGTTGTGCATACTGAAACGCACACACATGAGGCTCATTGGCCGGTCACTGCTGAAAATCCGTCGATTCCTGTCCCCAGCTGATCGATCGGCGCACCTCTAATTTGTTCTCATTCAGGATTTGGTTGTATTAAAAGACACTGCAGTGTGTGAGCTGCTCAGTTTTCATGTAACTAAAGTTAACATCACATTTATTATTACAGTGTGATGTATGGACATGTCCATTAAAAAAAATGGCAGCAGCTAAAATGTCAAATTCGAGTATTCAATAAGCCAAAGCTGTCATCAGGATGAGTGAATCAGGCTGTGTTTTACAGTCTATGGTAAATCCATGATTAGTGTGTAAAGTTTTAATTTCACAGCTTTTAGTAACTAGCAACTATCAGTTTCATCTGTTAACTTGCAAACATTTTTTTCTTCTCCACAGAACAGCTTTAGATCAAATCTCAGCTGTGAATGAACTTAACGCTCTGCCTGCTTTAGGCTTACGTGCACCTTGAGATCTGAAAGGGTGCTACTGCATGAGGTGTTGAGAAGAGGACAATCCCACATGGAGGACGAAGAACATTAAACAGCCAAAAGGTCACAGAGAACAACAACTGAAAAAAAGAAAAAGAAAAGAAATTGAAGGACAAACAGAACACTTAAAAACAATTTTTTTTTTGTCTTTTTAGTCTTTTTTTCCATTTTTAAAACCACAGTACTACTCTCCACTATACGATGCACATGGCGTGGGTAGGGTTACACGACTTCATTTACATTTTAAATCCTCGGTCTCCAGCCAGGGACCCCTCCCAAAGGAGGACCCAGTGGGGGTGTGTGGGGGATGTGGGTGAGGAGGGGGGGAAGCACTGGGCTAGGGGGGCAGAGACATTCGCACACCGGCCCTCTGAGAGACAGACAGAGAGCAGCGAGTGCTGCACTTTGTGATTTGTGGATTTTTATTGGTCCGTGTGTCACTGAGTGTTGTTCCTATCAGAAAAAATCACCTCAATGTGGTTCTATCTCCTCTGAGCACGTGCGTGCGTGTGTGCGTGTTATGAGGTGAAACTTTATGCAAGCCCGGTGACAGCAGATGGTCTTGTGATCATTGCGACAGCTTGTAGGATGGCAGTGGCAATAATTATATAACTGAATCATGCACACACTACTGTATAAAAATACAACCTACACAACTATGGCTTAGCTTATACACTCACGAATTCACATCACTTCTCTCTCAGAGAATGGACTTTTAGCTTTATGGCTCCACATAAAGTATTGCTGGAATGTTTTACAGTTTATCAGAGTAAATATGCATAACCATTCTCACTCTGTAGGCTAGTTATTTCACTTTTCCTGAGAAAAGGGGCTGTACGTGTGCCGCCTTCCACTCGTAGGATGAGGGTGTTAATGTGTGTTAATGTGAACACCTCCTAGTGGGCCCGTGTGTCCTCTGTCTGCCTCTAGGTATGAACCAACTCGCCAGGCTGCTCCCCCCTGGCAGCGCTGGTAGGGTTGGGTGTCCACCAACACAGCAGGGACGAGGGGCAGGAGGCAGGTTGACCCTCTCATGTTGAAGAAGAGCACGAACAGGATGCAGGGCAGAGGGAGCAGAAGTCACCTGCCTCTTCTACCCAGCAACCCTCTTGTGGCCACCATCCCGGTCCCTCCTGTGTTGGTTGGCATGGTTACAGTGGTGGCCTGTGATCGGTGGGCACGACTTTCAAACCAAACCCACCGGGCCACAGGCAGCTACAGCAACTCTCAGCCGGTGCGCTCGTCCCAAACTCACACAGCTAATGTTGTAAAACCTCACAAAGCTCACAAAGAAGAAAAAGCCAGATTTTTTTTCTTATTATTTTTCAGCTTTTGTGCATAAAAGCAAAGGCCATATGATAATATTCATAAAACGTTTTGCTCTTTGTTATCCTTACTCCTCAGCGGTGGTCTGAATAAATAGAAAAACATATTTAACTGTCTTTCAAAGCTATGTGTTTTTATGAGTGGTACAAACTTACAGCTTAAAGCTACATGCATGATTAGCAGCACGGCAGGCTTTAGAGAGAGTGATTAATGGACAGAAGCTCTCTGTACTGAATTTCTTTTCAAATCCCTGACTCTACAAAAAAGAGAGAAATTGAAATTAAAAAGGAAACCTTATCATTTCTCATTAAAATAAATGAGAAACAGGACTATCACTGTTCCACAGGCCAGTGATCGTGCCAATTTACATCTTATCACCTATATTTTCTTTCTTCTGTGCCTATTAAGCATAAATGACAAGTAGCTAGCACTCCTTAAGGTATAATTTAAGCAAATTTTGACCACAAGCTGAATAAAACTGCTGAGAGATCAGGGTCACAAATCAGACCAAATTGAGAAGTGGCTCCGGTTTTGATGTGGGCGCTCGAATGAGTGGAGCCACGGACAGGGACTTGTGCTGTCAAGCTTCTTTGCGAGTCAGAGGCTGTGTGCGTTTGCGTGCGTCAAACACGTTTATGGGACGTGCTCATGCCTCCCCCGAGGGACCCCTGGCTGCGTTGTTTCATATCATTTTCATGTTAAACTTCCTGGTCCCTCCTGAAGAGCTTCCAGTGACGGGTTCAGATTTCCGGAAGGAGTACTCCACTGTGAAGTTGTTCCTGCGTTGTCCGCGTCCCCGGCTCCACACGAACAACAGCAGGAAACAGAAGAGGACAACCCCGAGGAACGTGATGCAGCCCATTGCCGTGGAGACCAAGATGGTGGTCAGGTCAAAGGTGAACTTGAGGAAAACGCGTGTGCTGTTTAGATTTGTGTCGTTGAAGAACTCGCTGCTGTACAGTGAGCGGTTGAGAAAGAAGGCTGAGGCGGCATCCAGCGGTTGGCCACGCACCGTGAGTGTGGCAAAGTAGGTGTCATTGCCTCCGGCGTTACTGGCTATGCAGATGTATGTCCCACTGTCAGTGAGCTGGGCGTAGCGGATCTCCAGGGTGCCACTTGGGTGAACTATAATGCGCCCTGAACTCTTAGTTGTGATGCGCCTGCGCTGTGGGGAAATCCAGACAATAGAAGGGGGAGGGTCTCCTTCGGCTCGACACAGAAAACTCACCGGTTGGCCTTCACGAGCGATCATCTGGAGAAAAAGAGTGAGTGGATGAATAAATGCACAAGTTTAAAAAAGCACAGCAGATATCTATATGTAGGAATATTTTAAAACCTTAAAACAACCTTGTTTATGGTTGTAGAAAGTTTAACAAACTCATCACCATTCATTACCTGCTGCAGTTTTCGGTTGCGTATCTTAGGCTTCTGGCATGTGAAGTGATCGAAGAGTGCAGAATCGGTGAAGGAGCTGAGGCTTACGCCTTGCACCTCCACCGGCCCCGCACACACCGGCACTCTGCCGTCAAAGTTGAGGGTCTTGCGTCTTTGCAGGATCCACAACAGACGGCAGTCACACATCAGGGGGTTCCCGTCCACTCTGAGGGTCTCCAGACTGTTGACAGAATGGAAGGAGCCCTCTTCCAGTGTCTGCAGGTCGTTTGAGGAGAAGTTGAGCACGCGGATCTGTCGGAGGCCTCCGAGGGCATGGGGCTCCACCGTCATCAAACCTGTGCTTACCATGATGAGCTCCTTCAGCCTCAGCAAGTCTTTGAAGGCCCAAGGCTCTAATGTGGTGATGGGGTTGTAGGACAGGTTAAGGTGGGTGAGGTGGGCAAGGTTCTTAAAGGAGGACGAGGGGACAGAAGTGATGTTGGTGTTGGTGATGGAGAGCCAGTGGAGGTCCAGGCCCTGAAAACTGAGAGGGGAAATGTACTCCAAGTACGGCCAGTGGTCGATATCCAAACCCCGCAAGTTTGACAGCTTGCGAAAGTTCTGGTCCTCCAGGGCAGTGATGCTGAGGTGGCGAAGGCGAAGAGTGACCAGGCTGCGGAGGTAGGACAGCGTCTGACCAGAGATGGATGTCAGGTTGCAGCGCTCTATTGTGAGGTCCTCCAACCCCAGCAGACCTGAGAATGCCTGGAAATAAGAAAAACATAATGGGAATCTGGGAATCACTGTTTGCTTATACATATACATATATATTTATTTATGTTTAAGTAAGACAAACAGACAAAACTTGGTTCAGTATTTCACCAGAACACATTTTTGTTGTTGCTACTGTATGTGAGGTACATGCCAAGAAAAGGACTCGTTTAATTTTTAATATTTCATAATCATTCTCAAAGGAAAATATCAGATTTGTGGCCATAGCAACCAGCTCCGATTATGACGAGTTTTAAAAGTGCTGAGACATTTTTCTGGTTTTCTCTGAGGTCTTTGTGTTTTAATAGTGCCTTAATCTCTTAATACGTAATTAGAAACAATACATTCAAATAAAAGTAACAGAATCATTTTTTACACACTCCATTTGAATGTGTGCTGCTGTTATTGTAAGTATTGCAGTATAACAGTAAAACAATATTTCAATTTATCATTTTATTTTTTGACACAGAAAAAAAATATTCAGATGTGTTTGGTTTCTTCTAAGTGTAGTCTAAGTAACAAACCAAACACTGAGCTGAGTGCTTTTTTACTTATTCATGGGGAAGCTGGAAATGTGTTACATGGATGCTGTGTAACTGGTATCAGTGTTTTTATCTATGCCGGAAAACGAATAGACTTTTCCAAAATGTCACACCAGGATTTTTTAAAAATAAAGTGCAAATTATTGTATCCATTTCCCATTTCATCAATAAGCTCAGTTCACTACTGGCCAGATGCTTAAGAGCTTACCTTGTGGGATATATAAACCAGGTCATTGTCTCCGACCTCCAAGTGTTTTAGACTTTTCAGGTCCTGGAAGGTGTAGTCCAATAAAATCACCATCTTGTTCTCACTAAGGTCTAGGCTGGTAAGATTGCCAAGCTTGGCAAAGGCTCCCATGGGCACCAACTTCAACTGGTTCCCCCTTAACTTCAGCACTTTAAGACTCTGGAGGGTGGAGAAGGCATTCGGTTCTAACGTGGAGATGAGGTTCTCACTGAAGTCCACTTCCTCCAGTCGTGGGTACGGTGCCAGGTCTCCCGCCTGCACCCAGCGGAGCCGGTTCTTGCTGAGGTCTAGGAGCCGCGTCTCTGTAGGAATGCCCTCTGGGATGTTGGTGAGCCGCCGTCGCTGGCACGACACTGACCTTAGCTGGGCTGAACACTCGCACCGTGGCGGACAGGCGTGGCTGTTCCCTGGCAGTGTCAAGGTTATCATGGTAACCAGTGAAGTCGCCAGGACCCATCGCCACAGCTTCGGCCATGGCACTAAGGCACGCCCACCATGGCCAGGAAAGCCAGTCATGGCCCTGGTCCTCTGACTCCTCGCCTGTTACAGGCAGGGTGAGTGCGCCAGACACCTGCAAGACGAGACAAAGGGAAAAACAGGAGTTACAGAAAAGAAGTGAAGGGAGAAATAGAAAACAAGGACAGAATAAATATGTGATGAAGAAGGGAAAGAGGATGTAAGAAGATGGAGCCTATAATATAACCTATCAGCTCCCAACCTCATTAAGACAGGCCTAAATCCACAATGTTGTAAATTATCAATGTCTCCAGCAGTTTAAGTAAAGGAGTTGAGAATTTACTGCGGAGATTTGGGGCATTTCGTGACACAGCACTTAAACATCGCAGATGAGATCCCGTCACAGGAACAAGGAGCGCTTTAAGATAGTTTAGAAGATTTGTCTTTTCACTAATTTATCTGTGGTTTCAGCTGGAGAACCGGGACGCCTGGAGCCATGAGAGGGAGCTTCTTGCTTCAGCTGAATTCATGCATCTTGCATCTCCTCCGTTCTCCTTCCAGCAACGAGGCTGTCTGCTCCAGTTTGACAAACACAATGAATTTATTATAATCACCGTGCATAAACAAAGATGGAGCTCCTTAATAATCACAGTGTGTGTGGAAACCATGCACGCTGTGACGAGGAATAGGTGTTTGAGCCATTGCATGCATTCGAACAGGTACGCTTGGATGCAAGTTTGACATTTTGCTGGGTATGAATTAAAAATGCTTTGAGGGAAAAAGAGATGAATCATTTGTGCTTTAGCATTCCTTCAGGCAGCCGGTCATCTCTCCCACACACTGTTTTCAACATGAAGACAGTCAAAGAGCACCTGGCATTGGATCTGGAACACGGCTCTGTGTCCATCCAGCTAGCAGAAGTTTCATACTTGAGGAAGATGCCATTTAAAAAGAAAGTTTGGCTAGAAGAAAGTTTTTTTTCTTCTCTCAAACAACAACTACTGACCAGAAACCCCCAAATGTTAAACTGTTTGTTTATTTTTCAGATTCAATGGATATGAGAGAGAATATATCATCACCACCAGGGAGTATCATGTTAAAATGCACTCTGATGCTGTTTCATGTTAAAATGCACTTGGATGCTGGCAGAGGAGGAAGGCAGAGCTGAACAGATTAATAATATATGGGTTGGTTTGTGCGTAATGGGCAGTTTTCAGAGGGCCAGCCAAACAGTTAAAAGAGCCAAAAGTTGGTAGGCTCTCTCTTTTTGTCGATGAGGCCGTTGCTTCAAATTTCTTACAGGAAAAAAGCCTCTAAAACGCCTAATCATATCCGACTGTTTCGATGCATTGGCATCAATGGGATCAAACAGGATGAAATGGGATTTAAGCTAAATATAAATGACAGCTGACAAATTCTATGCACACATATGCACATACTCGTATTTTCACACACAATCACACAAACTCAAGCTGTAGGAAAAAAAAATCCTCCAGAGATTCTGTCTCATCTACTAAGCCTCAAGGTGGATAAGTCCTTCAATTTTTGACAGGCCTGGAAAACACTGTGTTTACAGATCCCATATCTGAACAATCTGGTAGAAATCTGGCACAATCTCTCCTTTCGCTGGGAGACAAAACTCAAAACACAGAGAAGCTGCTGTGCAGAAACAGACTGACCCACTTCTCAGCAGCAACTCGGCCTCGCACTGTCAACCATCAGCAACTCACCATGACCACAACAACAGAGCGGCAAACTCGGTGGAATAGTGCCCAGGAGAAAAACAGAGAGATCAGAAAAACTAGCAAAATTCTATCAAAGTCCTGAAATAATGAGATTAAATCGCACATCAGGTTCTGTGTCCTCGTGTCTTCATGGTGACTGTTGTGGAAACACTGATGATTTTTCTCCTTCTTGCACCTTTTACCCTGCTAAAGATTTAGACTGCATCCCATCAACTATCATCCAAATAACATGAAATGAAACATGAAATTTTAAAGGAACCGCGAAGTTAAAAAGTAGTGCTTTTGGTCACTATTTTGCTGCAAGTCAAAGAATTTACATCTTTAACCCTTAATCACACAGGCCTAGAGACTGGTGGGCAGGGACACAGACTTTATTAATCCCACACTGTTACAACAGCACAAGTGTCAGCAAGAAATAAAAAAATAAAAATCCATCCATTTTTTCAGCTGGGATGTTGGAGCCTATTCTAGCTAGCATAGGGCGAGAGGTGGGGTACACCCGGGACAGGTTGCCAGTCTGTTACAGGGCTAACACAGCGAGACTGACAACCATTCACACTGAGATTCACACCTATGAGCAATTTAGAATTACCAGTCAATGTGACCTCACTAACTGCATGTCTTTGGACTCTGTGGACTAAGAGAGAACCCACACAAACACAGGAAGCACATGCTAGCTCAACACAGACGGACAAAGTGCACAAATAAAAAAAAAGGCAAAAAACTATACAAGAGTTATTTCTACCATTCACAAATTGTCTCTATATAGAGTAAATACACCCACAGAGAATTTTTCATATTTGGAAAAGGTGTAGTGGGAGTGATAATACACACAAGTACATCTTTGCAGGTATCTATTGTATGTGTGGATTATACAGTCTGACTGCTGTCAGGATGAAAGACAACATTCTTTGTTTCCTTTTTTAAAATCAAAATATCTTGAAAATGTAAATTGGCATTCATGGTCCCCCGAGGATGTTCTATAAAAGGTTTATAAAAGGTTACACAGAACATAGTTCAGTACTTGTGATTTAATGCTCATTTAAAAAATGTTAAGATTTTGGCACGTTATTGTTAAGATGTTGAACATTTGCCTGTAAAAAAACCTTTTGAGTTAAAATTCTGACACATCTAGCGAAGATGTGCCCTGGGAGCCTGTGTGGGGCTACTGTGGGCAGACACACGAGCCCCAGTACCAACGTGAAATATAGGTCACATCTGGGCTCTGCACTATGGGGCCCAGACAGGTCCCAGTGGGATATCCAACAGTGTGGGTTGCCCACACTAAGCAAAGAGAGGCCCACAATGGGGCATATTATAGGGAGCGTACCCACAACTACCCTACTGGGGCCCCACCTAGACCCCACAGTGGAGAGCTAATGCCATGGTATATTAGCGATACCAACTGGTGTGGAGTGTGGACCAGAATGTATTTTAAAACATTAAGGAAAACAACTATCAGCTGCTCATTTAAAAAAAACGGGGTCACCACAACAGGTATATCTGCATGCTTCATTTAGCAGAGTTTTACACCCGATGCCCTTTAGATGCAGCCCCCTGCAGATTTGTGCTTTCTCCCATGGGATTTATTGCTTATAGGCAAGTATGTAAACTACTACACTATAGATCATCTCACTAAAAACCAACCAACCAACCAGCCCTCCACTCAAATCCTCTGCATAACATGTTAGTATGTTTAAGAAATTTGAATATTCTCTGATACCAGAATTTACTGATGTTTTGAATCAGCTGTCTTATCTCAGCCTCATAATTCTGACACTATTTCTCCACAGTTGTCACATTTCCCTGTCTTGTGTTTCCTAACATACAGACCCCACATGGGATATCCTATTTAGGCCCTATATGTGTTTTCTATCCGGTTGTTCAGTGACGTGACGCGACGAATCCTACTTCCGGGTCTAAAGTAGTCTGCGTTTAATATGGCTTTTGTGTTGTTAACATGTTTAATGTTATGTATTTTCTTCTATTTGATCTCAAAAAGCTCCTAAAACAGTCAGTGATCACTGTTGACCTCCCTCGGCTTTTATTACCGCTAATCATTTATTTAAGCTCAGTTTTTAAAACCTTAGGATGTAACTACAGCCCAGCCCATGCAGCAGTATATGAATGACTAACCTCGTATTGTGGATGGATTATCTCAGTTGTTCTCCTGGCTGAAGTTTGGTCCTTTTACAGCATCCTGCCATGCGATTACATTTGTTCCTGACCACCGAGAACACTCACGTTAACTTTTATCGAGTGGAAAAAAAGTTAGCTTGTTTATATTATGCTAACATAGCTGTGTCGCTAGCGGTCACGTAGCACATCATTATATACCAGCTAGCCCAACTTCAGTAACCCTACAAACGTCACTGCTGTTTAGTTTTCTGTCTTCATTTATGCTGGAAGTGATAACAGAGCTGTACGTTTTAATTTGTTTCCAAAACCCCGCAGTCAGGACATGCTATATTGTATTTAGATAGAAGCTAGCGAGCTAACTTCATGCTAACTTCTAACTCCGTTAAATGTCATAAATTCCGTTTTCATGGATGCCTGGATGTTAAACTCAATTGTTACACCTGGTAGAGCAGAACACTGATCATTTTATTAAAGATGAAAGACTTTAGACAGTTTTTCAACTCTCAGTAATGCCATAGTGATCGTTTGATATATGGACCTGCAGCAGAGTTTAGACCCAGACACGGCTAGTGACGTCAGACTGAACAACCGGATAGACAGCCTATAGTGGGCTACCCACAGAATTCCCTCTTGAGAGCAGAAAGGACAAAAATACGAACATAGAGTTTGGGTTTGGACAGGGTTTGCACACAAAAAAAACACAGAGCACCCCATAGGGCAAAACTGCCGTGAGCCCATTTTGATCCCATGTGGAATAGATGCAGGTTGCCCACACAGCCTCACAGCTACCCACTGTGGGCCTGCATGGGCATGGTTGCTGGGCAGACAGCTGTTCCCATACATAGCCCGCTGCACGACTATAAACTCTTCACTCAGTGTATCCAGTGTCTCCATGTGTGTGTTAGTGTACATCTTGCCCAGCTCTTTGGCATTGTGATGGATGCAGCCTGTCTCCGCACCCCCATGAGAGTCATCCTACGGGTCAGTGGCAGAGTCACAGTATGAATCACTGAGCTTACATCGTCAAGGCAGACAAGGTCCTTACTGCTTGACTCAAGGACAGACTTGGCTTCCTTAACACACACACTCTCTATCAGACACATAGGCCCAGTGCTCTACGCATCATCTCATGAGCAGGTGATAAATACACACCTTGACTCTGACTCCCAGGCCACATACTGAAAGAACATTTTTATATGTTGTTGCTTTAGTTGCTTTCTTTTAGATTAGC